ACTAAAAGAATTAAACATTATGAAAAGGAACCAATTTAAAAATGGGCTGTAGAACTAAACAGAGACAGATGACGGCACAGGTAGGGGACAAGGGGAATACAAGCTGAGACCACCACTATGGAAATCAGTGTGGCAGATCCTCTGAAAGCTGCAAATCCATCTACCACAAGACCAAGCTCTACTGCTCTTGGGAATATACCCAAAGGACTCTAAATCTTATTCAGGGATGCTTGCTCTTCGATGTTTATGGGTATTCTATTTGTAATAATAGACAGAAATTAGAAACAGCCTTGATGTCCATCAATTATGAATAGATGATGAAAATTTGATACATTCATTTATTTACACAGTGGAATACTATTCAGCTGTTAAGAAAATGAAATTATGAAATTTGCAGATAAATGGATAGAGCTAGTAGAAACAGCTATCCTGAGTGAGGTAACCCAGACCCAAAAAGACAAATATTATATTGTTTCTCTTACATATGAATGATAGCTTTTAAGCTTTACATATGTATATTTCTATACAGAAATGTGTATAAATAATCAGAGGGTAGGTAGGCAATAAGAGATAAAGACGGAGTAGGGCATATTCCAAGGAAGGAGAAATAGAATATAGTGTTATAAAGAGGTACAGGGGAAGCTAGAATAGGAGGATTAAATGATGGGGGAAATCGGAGGGCAAGGTAAAGTTGGGAATATGGGAAATGAAGGCAAACTAACATAAAATAAAAATATATGAAAGGTAACTAAATGGATTCACTATATAATGGGGAAAGAATGCCCCAACTAGACATCTTATGCCACCAAATAAAACCTCCAGTGCTAGAAATGGGGTACATCCTATTGAGTCATTGTCAAAAGGGTACCATAGACTAAAATCATCAAAGAGGCTATTGGTTACTTTAGTTCCTTTCCCATTGCTGATGATGCAACTTACACTGTAGAACATGGAAACCGAAAATGAGCTGGTGCCCAAAGAGAAGCTTCACTCCTACTGACTAGCATTCACTGTTCTGTAAAGTACGTTGTATGCTACCAGAGGAGGAAAGTAAGCATCAATACAACCCAACTACAAACCTTTAAGCTACAATAGTGACCTTCCTGCAAGACACAGCATAATAGTGGCACAAATGTGGTGGAAGTAACCAACCACCCTTTTTAATAATTGAACTTAAGGCCCACTTTATAAGTTGGAATGCATACCAGATACTTCTAAAGTGGCCAAGAATATGAGACTAAATAGGTCTTAGGCCCTAAAGGGAACCTATTAAAAGGCCTAGACATAAGGCCTAGTGGAATTTCCTGAGCCTGGCTAGAGTTTGGCAGACTGATTCAGCAAAACTGCCTCTGCCCAGCTACTGCTGGTGTGGTGAGATATTATTGGCCCTTACTCTCACCCCATCCTTAGGTCCCCACCCACTTTCTCAACTCTATGTAAACGCATGTCTGTTACTATAAAGCGAGACTCTGCTTTAACGGGCCTCCATGACTCAGTATGCTTCTCTCCAGTCACTAGGAGGGGGTCTGAGTCGTGGACACTCACCATCCCGCTCAGCCCCTGGAAGTGACTGGCTGAACCGGTCTGTCCCACAGCCCTGACTGCCAGAGACCCCAGCAGAGCGGTGCCCAAACAGGAACCCCAGCAGGATCATACTACCATTATTTTGCTAAATGAAGATAGCAAGAAAATGATTCTTAATGACATATTGCTATACCAATAGATCAATACATCACCCATCCCTTATCAATTGAGCTTCTTCTTGCAGTAGGTACTAATCAACACAGAGACCCACAACCAAACAATGTGCAGAGACAATGAGACTAGTGAACACTCAGCTCTAAATGAGATGTCTTTATAAAAACCCCTCCTTTTAAGGCCCAGTGATCTATTCAGAAAAGGAGGCAAAAAGATGGTAAGACCCAAAAGGATGGTAAGAGGTGTTGAACAACTCCCAGAAAACAGAGCCTTTGAGACACAACAGGGCCGATAGACATAGAAGAAACTCACAGACCATCACTAGTTCAAATCAGACAAAATCCAAGCACTGACAGAGAGAAGTAGACCCAGAGTCCTAACCAAGAAGGTATTTGCAATTGATAACCGCTGAGGAAGGGAAAATCAGTTTTCTCCAATGGGGTGTCCTGGGCATATAAGCACACTTCAAGGTAGGTCCAATGCCTAGAAAGATCTGGCCAACACAAAACAAAACAAACTCCTTGTGGTATGTGTGTGCTTTTTGTTTTTGAAAGGGGGTGGAGGGAGGAAGAAAGGGAGAGAGGGGAGAAAGAGGGAGGGAGAGAGCGGGAGAGAGAGAGAGAGAGAGAGAGAGAGAGAGAGAGAGAGAGAGAGAGAGAGAGAGATGAAATTGGCTGGCTGGGGAGATGAGAAGGGCCTGGGGGGAGTGGAGGAAAGGAAAACTATGATGTAGCACAAATTCTCTTAGGTCTTAATAATAAAAACTTAGAGTCATCTATCAGGGAGTAAAGCTGCTAGATCAGAGAAGCAGAGAGGCCGGCCACGAGT